ACAAATTATTTTTGCCAGACAACTTGTTTCAATGGAAGAAGATACAAGAATAAATATTAATTTTATAACAATAAGATAATCATTAACTTATTGTATTAAAAATTAAAATTTATTAATTTGTTTTAAGTATTGAAATATAAGAGAGTGTGTAGAGATAGCACTTCTATTTATACAAAATTTCTCAATACATTTTAGTTCTATTTATATTACAAAATTATAAAAAGATATATATAAAAGATAGAAAAGGTAAATAGAAAAAGATAGAAAAGGTAGAAAATAAGAATAATAAAGATAGAAAAGATAAATAATAAAGGTAGAAAAGATAGAAAAGATAAATAATGAAGGTAAAAAAGATAAAAAAAGTAAATAATAAAGGTATAAAAGGTAAAAAAGATAAAAAAGATATAAAAGATAGAAAAGGTAAATAATGAAGGTAGAAAAGATAAATAATAAAGGTATAAAAAATAGATAATAAAGGTAGAAAAAGTAAAAAAGATAAAAAATAAAGATAGAAAGAGTAGAAAAGATAGAAAATAAAGATAAAAAATGTAAAAAAGGTAGAAAATAAAGGTAGAAAAGGTAAATAATAATAATAATTATACAATTATTAAATAATTGATATGTATATACTATTTTTATCAATTTGTTGTTTTGTTACTATTTTTAAAGATTTTCATATTTTCTACTATTTTTAAAGATTCATTAATTACAGAATTTTTGAAAATAACTGTAATAATATAACGTAATTATTAGATTAATTAGTAAAAAATTTCAAGAATTTATGATTATTTTGAACTTTAGTTTCTATTATATTGAGTTACTATTATTATATAATAAACTTTAATTAAATATTTTATTGGATTATTTATACTTAATATTATTGACTTATATCTTATTATAAGAATCTAATTATGTAAAATAAGCAAATGAACAAGTGAGCAAACAAATAAGTAAATAAATAAACAAGTAAACAAGTAAATGAATAAGTGAATATTGAACTAATAGAATTTAAATGAACTAGCAAACATGAATTTGTATAGTTGATGAAATATAATTTGAATATATATAAAATTAATATATATTATAGTTATTAAAATTAAATTAGAAACAAGTCTTTGATAGTAATATTTTTAATTATTATCTTATAGCTAGTTATTATATATTTTGATTATTCATATGAACAAAATTTGCACTTTATATAAAATAAATAGTCAAGTACAAACTTTTCTCTATACTTCTTTGACAAAGTATTCTTGTTTCTTATATAATCACTTCAACATATTTGTCATAAGTGTTATACAGTTCTTGAATAAAGTATTAGTTACTCAAGTATATTTGTTATAAATACTATATTATTTAGTGATTAGTTCTAGGCTCTCTAAATATGTTTATAATAAAATCTATTAAATAAAGTAATTAATTATTAAGATTTTCTAAACATATTTGTGATAAAGTTTATTAAAGTTATATTAAAATAAAGAAATCATTATTATAATTTTTAAATTTGTCTCTGAATTATATTTGTTATAATATAAATATTATAATCTCTATATCTTTGACTTTGAGATTTTGAAAACACTTTCTAATTGTTCAAATTATTGTATTAAAAAATACAATTATTATTAATCTTTAAGTGATTTTGTCACTAATACTTTTAATACTTATTTATATTCAATCTAATAATTATAAAATATTATTAATACTTTAAATTATCATTAAAATATTGAAAATTTCCTTTTAAATCTTATAAATATCTAAATATTTCAAAATCAATCAAAACAATAATACTATATATTAAAATTACAATATTATAAAAAAAATCATTTTTCCAATACTTTTTTCTCTTCAAACTTGATCTAAAATTTTTTAGTGATGGATCTGATTGGTTAATAAACATGTGATTTTAGCGTATCCCTCTGATTGGTCGTATAATGATACTCCTTATATTTGTGTAAGTCATGTGGTAATATGGATGCTAATCCGAATTTCTTATTAATTCGGATTTCATTATAATCTACTATCTGGCTTTAGCGTCCCCTTAACTTAGAAATTCTCAATGCAGAAAAAGATCTTACCCGTGTATCTTTTCCACAATGATATTACTGAAAAAGATGTTCTGCACGTGAATAATAGCAGGTAGCCTTCTGTCTAAAAAGTACGGAAAGGCTCTATCCCTGAAAAAATGACATCGCTCACTCACGGATTACCACTTAAAAGTATGGTATTTCAATGAATACAGTTGATAGGAAGCACCAAGATTCATCCCAAACCTCATCGGTCTTCGTTATATGTATGGTTTCGCCCTAAAGCAAGAAATACCGCATCATACAAGAATCGCGATGGGCATCTTTCAAGGAAGAGGAGAGTTTAGTATCACCGAATTTTTGTCTTTTAGTCTACACTTAATAAATGTTTATTACCAAAATTGTTTTTAGGATCACATTGACATTTGCCAGACTCGTGAATTTCTTGTTCTGGTGGACAGTGCTGAAGTTCTCTGTGTTTATAGGCGATATCGTTAAAGAAATGTATGTTGGTTTTCTCTAGGAAGAGAGCAGCCGCGATAGAATGGATCGGCGCGTCTCCCCATCTAAAAAATTCGATTTTTAAGAAAATTATGCGCTACCAAAGATACGGTGATATCACTTGCAACCCGATAAACTTACCGTTCGTAGAAGAAACCTCCGGCTTTATCTAAATACTCAAAGAATTTTAGATATGCTTCGCTCCTATAAAAACGCAGATCCCCGATTTCAAAATTACTCCAGAAGTGACATCTATTTTGTAACGTAAGATGCAGCAGTAATAATATAACGATGAAAATAGTATGTACAAATTGTATGAAAGAATATGATGGGGGAGAAATGTATACATACAAATTATAGGTCTCCATATCGTTGTCCGATATTAATTTTGCGGAATTGCGAGGTGAAATGAATTGTGGATGATCTTTGATGAATTGCTTGGTATTTTGCCATAGCGTCGGAATGGTATTTGCGCGCTCTTTCAGTGATATTGTGAACCCGTATGAAATGTTATTTTTTTGTATGAAGGCGAATGGATCATAGTCGATATTACAATTGAATTCAACTCCCGGCTCAACGCGCCAGTAATAGTCATACTCTTTCAGAAGGGGATGGCGAAAGAAAAATCCAGAATTAAAACGACACATGTGATAATATGACTCTAATCCTCCGTATGGTACGTGATCATTTTGCATCCGCGCACGTGACCTCGCCGCTTTTGTCTGGTCAATCCATGATGGATAGCTCCACATCTCCGAAGGAATTATATCTGATTACATGAGATGGAGAAATATGAGCAATGTGAACAAACTGGGACCAGTTTTACTGAACCAAATTTCAAATTTCCTAATCGGTAATTCATCCAAAAGGAGTGCGCAAAATTTTGTCAATAACCAATAAGAATGCACAAATTTTTGATCGACCCGGTAAAACAAATCTGGCTCAAAGCGATGAAAAAGGTGATATTACGAGAAAACTGATGCATAAATCTGTTAATTATAAATGTCGGGAAGACAATTTTACATAATCTTGTTTCCTTACCCAATACCTTACCCTTACCATGACTCTAATTGTATTTAATGAAAATTCAGAATCCAAATTAGGGAATTTGAAATTTGGTTCAGTAAAACTGATCACAGACTGGTAGCAGAATTAGGGTTACAATGTCATCCTACCGTGATATGTTTTAGCATTTGTTACGGCGGAGGTCTTTTCTATAAATTCTGAAGTGAAAACTACGTCATTTAGATAGACGTATGGATAATTGTATTTCTTATTCCAGCGCTCCTCTAACTGTCTAAGAGTAGGTAATAATTGTTCTAGTTCGCTGTTCCTGACCAGTATAACGATCACAGCTTTTAGTCGCTTGCTGTTGGTGACGAATATGCTGAGATCCTTGTGAGGATCTATGTATTTTGTTTCAAAGAAATGCTGTCTGTATCTATCGTTGATAAAGGTTGAAGTTATAACAAAACTATAGAAAACTGCAAGAACTATAAGTGTCAACCCGACAGCTACGCGTAAGAAACGGAAAAGCCGTACTGAGGCAAAGTGTAAACTTGAGGAAAACTGGAACATTATAGATTGATGTTACAGTGAACCGAGTTTTATATTAATACAGTGGCCCGCACCATTTTACGCATTTAATTTCACCCAGGTTTCCTATTGGTTGCATGTAAATACTTTGCGTTTTCTTGTATAGGATTTGTTTTGCATTTTTATTGGTTTATACCATCAGTAACTAGTGTTTCTATGAACCGAACCGGAGAACCAGACTTTGGCTTAAGTTCAATTTCGAATCGAACCGTTATATACAGTGGCCCGCATAAATAACGCACCACTTGCATCGCAATCCGATGAATGCAAAAATAATAGCGATAGACAAATTACAGCTAATACTGTGCTATAAATGGTAAATAACGATAATTAGGAGTATCCTAGCCATAAAAAATGTCCGGGTCATGTAATTTCAAGATCAATGTGTAACAAAACAAATAAAAACAAATGATATTTTTGAAAAATAACAAGTTTAATAAAATGCTCGATAATACAAATCAATAAGAAAATGCAAATTTTAAATTAGTTGGCAAAAATATGAAAATTAAATGTTTATATTATACAATAAAATTTCTTTATAATTGCATCTATTTATTCTATTTTGCTTTTCCATGTGTTTTATAAAATGCATAAATATCTTTACTAAAAAGTAAATATAAAATTTAATCTGTAAATATGCTCAAAAAAGATCTATTTTATCATATTTACAGATTAAATTTTGCATTTACTTTTTTGTAAAGATATTTATACATTTTGTAAAATATAAATATTTGATGATTTTAGATGTTATGCACCATAATTATTTAATTTTGCTTTTTCAAGAATAATAATTATAGAGAGATTTGACTATATATATTTTTTTATTTTTATATTTGATAATTTTGATATTAATATGATTATCCAATTAATTACTAATTAACAATTAATAATTTGTTTAATCAATTATCATGAAAAAATAATAAAATTAACTTTATTATATATATAATTTATATTATAACAAGTTTATTTGATTAATAAATTTTTGTATTATTGACAATATATATATATATATATATATATATATATATATAATAATATTTAATAATGAATAATGATTATTATGAATCTAATTAATGTTTATTTAAGATATTTTAATTGGTTCTTTATTATAAATATGTGTTTGATAATGTTATTAAAATCTTTAACAGAAAGTAGTTTGAATTCCCATAGTAAATATTTTTGATGTAAATATTTTTGATATAAATATATGAATTTATACTTGCTAACTGAAATAAAGAATGCTTATAATAGGATTCTGAAAAAAGTCTGGTTTAATTCGAATCTGATTTAGTTTGAGCTTGAACTAAACTCGAACTTAATCAAAAATCTGGTTCAAAAATTTGAATCTAATTAAAAGTTTGGTTTGAGTTCAGTTCAAATTTTGAACATAACCAAAAATTTGGTTTGAGTTCAAGTAAATATTTGTTTATGTTCTAAGTAAAATTATAGATTATAACATAAGCTACAAATTGATATAAGGTAGTTAATATTTAAAATGAATATTTAAAAAGTTATGAGTTTAAAAAATAATTATAATTTTAATTTGCTTTAGTTTTAGTATAATAATTATAAACTATAAGTATAAATAAAATTGTAACTAGAAATAAGAGCTACAAATTGATATAAGATAGTTATTATTAATAATAATTATTCAGAAAATTACATAGTATTTACAATCAATTTAATAAATATAAAAATAAAAATACTTTACTTATCACTATATAAACTTTTAATTTTTACTAAATATTATAAATTATACTTATAAGTAAAGTTGTAACTTATATTTAGAGCTATAATCAATATATAATCAAATTTTTCTATAATTACACTTATTTATAGTTACTTTATTTTGCTTTTCCATTTATATATAAATATAGTAAAAAATCTTTTTATAATTACATCTCCTCTATAATCACCAAATTTTGCTTTTTCAAGGATGATGACTATAAAGAGATTTGACTATAATACTATATATTGATTTTTAATCAAACTTGAATCAGACTCAAACTCGTATAATAATTTAGTTCAAGTTCAATTTGAACTTTTAAATCTTTCTTAAACTCAAGTCAAAGTTTATTCAAGTTCAGTTTGAATTTTGAACTAAACTCGAATTCAGGCAAAAGTTCAGTTTATAGAAATACTATTTTACAAGATAGTCTTGATATCATTATATTTTTTTGTAAGTTTTAATCATTATTCATAAAAATTTTCTTCGCATAAATTATTATAATACAAGAAAAAGTTATATACAAAACTTTCATATTGATTATAAAGCTTTAATTTGAGATTTTTTAACAAATTTTCACTAATATGAAAAATATAATGAATTTGATAGATGCTTTCATATATTTAACAAACTAATATATCTGTTGTGAGATTTGTATCAGTAATAAATATTATTATTATTTTAATTAACTTTTGAAATATTCAAAGATATTTATAAATATTAAAGAAATATTTAAAGAAAACTTTCAATGTCTTAATGATAATTCAAAGTATTAACAATACTTTATAACTATTAGACTAAATATAAATAAGTATTAAAAGTACTAGTGACAAAATTACTTAAAGATTGATAGCAGTTGTATTCTTTTAAACACAATAATTTGGATTGCTAAAAAAAGTTCTCAAAATCTCAAAGTTAAAGTTATAGAGATTATAATATTCATATTATTAGCAATATGAAATTAAAGGTAAATAATGTATTATTAATAATATAATATTGAAGATGAGTTTATGAATAATGTATTATAAGTAATACAATCTCAAATATAAATTTATGAATTATAGTAATAATTTCTTTATTTAATATAATGTTTAATAGATTTCATCACAAACATGTTCAGATAACCTAGTATTAAGATAAGAACTTTATAATACTTCTGACAAATATACTTAAGCTACAATAATATTAATTTAGGATCTGTATAATACTTATAGCAACAGTGCTAAAGTGATTATACAAGAAACAAGAATACTTTGTCAAAGAGGTATAGAGAGGAATTTGTGCTTGACTATCTACTCTACATATTCTGTAAAAAAAAATAAAAGACAATAATCAGGAAAAATTCAGTTTTTTAGTTTTGAAAAATTATTAGTTTTGTTAACAAATTTCCAGATTAAATTAAGAATGGTTGCCAAAATGATGTCATCTAATTAAATAATTTGCTAAAATTAACTTGTCAAAATTAAATCTGAAATTATTTTGACTTATTTTACTAGTAACTGAAATTATTTTCTGAAATTATTTGGATTCTACAAACCAAAACAAGCATTTCTAGATGGTTTTTAAGTATTTATTAATATAAGCAACATAACAAAACTGAATTATATTATTTTTTCAAAAATAATTTAGGAGATCATCTTTAATTAAAATCTGATAAAAATCTGATTAAAAATTTAGTAACTTTGAAACGTGATATTTGATAATCAATTAATCTGATCCAGATTAAAATACCACCATTTGATTCATCTAGTCTTGGTGAATTAAATGGTGATAATTTGGTCTGGATTGGATTAGGAAATTATGAAATATTATATTTCAAAGTTACTGGATCAATTTTTTTGTTCAAAATTAAAATAAATGCATTATTTTCAAATACATTATTATTAAATTCATCTAGTTTTGGTGAATTCAATGATAGTAATTTTTACAAAAATTATTTGATAATTCAAAAGATATCATGTTTCAAAGTTGTTAAATTAATTTTTAAAAAAAACTTATTTTAATTTGGAACACTTAATTTGAAGCATAATATATCATGATCTACCAGACCAAATTTTATCAAAATTCAGTTACTATTTCACTAAATTTCAATAAATATGTGATTTTATTTTTATTCAATTTGGTTAAGTGAATGATAAGATATTAATTCATTTTTAAAAAAATAAAAAAAATAAAAAAATATATCTAGTAACTTTGGGATGCAATATCTCATGATTCACTAATCCAATTCAAATCAAAATATTATCATTTGATTTGTCTAGTCTTGGCAAATTGAATGATAATATTTTGGTTCAAATTGAATTAGTAAATTATGAGATATCATATTTCAAAATTACTGGATATATTTTTTTATTTTTTTATTTTTAATCAGATTTTATCAGATTTTAATCTGGAAATTTGTTAACAAAACTGATGATTTTCTGGAACTAAAAAACTAAATTTTTTTCTGATTATTGTCTTTTATTTTTTTACAAAGATAAAGTACAAACTTTGCTCATATAAATAATCAAAACTACATAATAACTAGCTATAAGATGATAATTAAGAATATTACTATTGAAGGACTTGTTTTAATCTAATTTTAATAACTATAATACATGTTGTTTTTATATAAATTCAAAATATAATTCCTTAGCTATATGAATTCATCTTCATTAAATCACTTAAATTCTATTAGTCCAATATTCATTCACTCATTTGCTTGTTTATTTACTTATTTATTCATTTGCTTGCTTATTTATTTGCTTATTCCATGTGATTAGATTCTTCAATAAAATATAAGATATTTATAATCCAATAATATTAAGTATGAATAATATTCAATTAAAGTTTATTATATAACAGGACTCTCGTTGTTAAGATTTTGCTCCATAAAATTAAAATGTTCAAATATCTTTTTTTTAATTGATTACTAGATTTTTGACTTATTTTTCTAATTGTTTTTGGAGTTAAATATTTGTTTATTCTATATATCTTCATGACCTTTGAAATATTGATAAAGTTATAAGATTAATATATATTTTAAAATAGTGTTTACAATACTGATTTTATTTTTAAATAATTATCTAGATTCAGAATGTTGTTTTTTAGATAACTTATAGTTATTAGTGAGATTTGACAGTATTCTTCCAATTTCATAATAAATTGAAAATGTTATATATTTACTGTCTTTTAATAATTCTTTATAAGTTTCTAATGATTCTTCTATTGTTAATAATTGTTTTGCTAATTGATTATCTTTAAAAATATTTTTTAT